CTCCACCTAATGGACTACTGGTCCAGTGTTCCTTTTCTTACGGGTTGATTTAGGTGTCCACAGATTAATTCCAGGATACATTATCAGTGCTGACTTCTGAGTAGTCTTATAACATGATGAAGCACGTTGCCAGCATAAATCTGAAGCATGAGCTAATCAAAATCCACCAGAAAGAAGCAGAAATTACTTAGAGTTTAGTTATTTAGAGACTTCAAACTTGGCGTGTGGGTTCACATTGTCACTTCTTCTGTCATCATCACTAATTTCAGTCAGTCTATCAGATTTACTGAAGTTCTCACAGCTGAAATAAATTACATCTGTTCCCGAGAATAAATATCATGCACTTACTTCAAATTCAAATATTTCACCTTAAAGACTTGAAAATTCCCCTCATGGTGTCAACTGCTTCTGAAGTTGATACAAGGCCGTATTGTGTGGATTAGTTAGCCATCTGATTAACAGATTTCAGTCATCATTAAGATCTGAAGCACAAAAGTTGCTAAAATAACGTAAGATCTACGTGGACCTAATTAAGTGCATCCGGAAAAAAATATCTGTGACTAAGTGCTAAAAGATGCAAATTCAAATCTCTGGAATAAAATAAAAATCTGCAAAGTTTCCAATATGCTTTTCTGGCGAGCGAAACCTAACGACAAGGTTTCTTACCAGTTGTATACTGTTCTTTTGTGACAGAGAGAGATAGATGCTTCGAAAATAAACGAAGGGAAATGTTTACCTATAAGTCTTAGAGTGCACCATTGCTGTAAGGTTCCATTAAAGACAATGCGCTTACACATGATGAACTACTGAGCCATGGTATCATAATCACCTAAAGAACTCCATAAATGCATTTATGGATACAATCCCCTTAGGCAACAGCGCTTTCTGAAGTCACTTTGGTAAATAATGTAATTTCATTTCTGTGATAAGTTATAGAACAGTGGTAAAATGTCAAGTATTTGGCAAGGGTCTAACAGATAGTTCTGTTGGGATTATTTGTTAACAACATAACTCATTATAAGGCAGGTGTGTCGAGCTATCGAGTACCAAGTAGGATGAAACGTGCATCATCTTTACCTTCAAAATGAAATAACTGGCTATTTCAGGGCGTCCGTACTGGAGCCTTTGTGCCAAAAATGGACTATCAGTTCGTACCAAATCAGTCAGAAGTGAGGAATAAAAAACGATGATGTGAAATGTACACCATGAATTCAACGCATGGCCCCCATTGATTCTTGCTATTCAGTGAGGATATTCATAGTTCTGAAGAAGGACGCCAGACATCGCTGAAGTGTGGGAACTGTCTTCTTGAAAGATAAACATCTTAATCCGTTACACGTAAAAAATATCAAGTGGCCAACTTCATCTAGAAGAAAATGGACTTGCTTCTCAAATTTTAATTTATTTAGTAGAAATTCAATTAGAACTGCAAAATTCAGGGATAATTTGTCCGACTAGATACTGCTCATAACGCTTAGCTGAGTTTATTACTGAAAGACTAGAAATTTCTCTTCACGCACGTCATAATGGAGTTTTTTAAATACCTAAAATAATGAAGTCATACTCTTTTACACTCATCGTTGTTCATCAAACAGACTTTATGCGAAGTTCGATGACCACTATTTCAGTCAACTGTTTGAAGGAAGATCTGCACATGTTCATCTTGGTTCTTCTTGCTGACGAAAAATTTAAACCCACACCTGTCAAATGCATACTAAAACATATTAACCAGTTACAAGGTTTATCAAGAACTGACTGGCTTAAAAACAACCTTTGTCACAGATTGACATCAGCTAGAATATCATAGAAACCAAGTATCATTTAAACAAAGTGCATTAACGAGCCCGTCGAAGAGTGACCAGCAGACTACGTGCTCTGTTATGAGTATGTCAGAATGCATACACTAGATTTAAATAGAATTGCTCATTTATGAATCACATCAAAATGGACTTTTCAAAATTTTAAATTGAAGTCTTGACGTATCTAACTGCCAAGCCAGACATGGATGCAGATATCCATTCATAAAAATGAATGATCATCTCACCAAGCCATTAGTTGATACAAGTTCAAAAATATAAACCGCTATATTCTAACCCATTGGTCCAACAGTAGCTGCTTCGCTACAAGACCTAATGACCCTAAGCTCGATCTTGAAACCAATGGTGATTGCTCCTTCCCTGAAAGTCTCACAGTTAAAAAAATTTTGATTCTTTGACTCTTAGTTTTCAGCAGCGTTTCAATTGACATTCATTAATCGATTACAATGCTCAAAAATAAGATACCACTGAGTTACTGCATGCGGCCAACGGTAGTGAAAAACAAACACTTCTGTGAGCTAACTCACAGCTAAAAGAGAGAAAGAGTGACAGGCAAGGGTTATGAATCAACATTTTAGTTTTTGAAGTAGAAGACGAACTGAGACAAAAAATGTATCAATTAAATGGAAAAAAGTAGGGCACACTAAAATCTTGATCACCAAATATAAAAATATATATAGCCGAGATGAATAAGCGTGTATGATGAACAAAATAGATTCAGAAAATAAGGCGAAAATTAATACGTTTGAAGTCTGGGGAACTGAAAACCAGTAAAGTCGGCTAAACTAACGCTAACGGATATGCTGAACGCAAACAAATTTGAGCTCAAGAACGAATCAGTGATTTAGTCTGGATATATACCACTGAGAAGACAGTGCACGTTCACTTTCCAATGACCATAAAACGACGGCGCACTTTGCAGAAAAGCGAAGTATTAAATAATAGACCTGCATCCCAACTGCAATAAAGTAAACAGTTTCAATTTTACGGACGGGTGACATTCAGGTGACCATAGATCAGTGACCAACAAGAAAAATTATGCCTGTAAAAACATTCAGGAAAATAAAAATCTTGGAAACTTCTCATACGTAACACTAAAATAAATAAAAGTATACGATATTCATAAAAGCAAGGAAATAAAAACTTTAAAGAGAGCAATAAAGGATTTTACCATCAGAATAGTAAACAGCAGATCATAAGGATAGAAAGGATAAATTGTAAACAGAAGCGCGAAAAGCACTTTCAAATTCACACTTATAGAGGATATCAAACCAAGTTGGGAAAACAAGAAAGTCAATAAGAGTTAGCGAAATTTATACACGTCAAAGGTTGATTGAGCACTACAGAAAGTAGTTTGAGAAAGGAATACGCTGGAAATACAATGAAAAACGTTCTCGAGAGAAATCGCGTCATTTAGATAAAAGATGGTTACAACAGGGAGAAAACAGGCCATGGAATAAACGGATGTATTTTAATTGATATGCAATAAAAGTCTGTACGGCAAAGTCATTCCAATGCATTTATCCCCAAAAAACAAAAGTTGAAACTTCTACCTGATCATCTGTTGGAATCAATCCAACTGGTTGTAGAAGTCACCAACATGAGGCACTTAAACTAGTAATTTACATGCTGTGAAATGATCCATGCTCAAGTCAGTTAAGTATTTGAAAAGTCATCCCTGAATCACTATCACCAAGCATTGGCAAACAATATAAACGAGCAACAAAGAGCACGTACCAGTGCTTAGCATGTGAGAGAACTCAGAAGAGACACCCACTGCTATTGAGAAACATCATGAAGTTACAGACGAACCACATATGGGGAATTTCCTAGCCCTGAATGAGCATTCATTGCATTAGTATGTAAGGTTTTAACTTGTTTTTGAGTTACATAAGATGAATTTATGGATAGACAGTTGTGGAGGAAACGTATGCAGTGAATTAATCCCTCATTTCAGATTGGGCAGAGAGGACAGCTGGTGGTATCTGACGATAAAATAATGACAATAGGCAGTTTTATACACATATGTGATTTGTAATTTGATTCGGATTTCAGATGTTTGCTTTTCCAAGATAGCCTTCACTGAATTAACAATATTACATGAGCTTGTTAACGACCATCTGATCTTGATAAGGGAGGGTAATGTAGAATTTTGGCATTCGTACAGAGCGAGAATTTGACCTCCGAACCATGAAAGACTTTTACCGTAAACACCAATAAGCCACAAGTTACCGGTAAATTCTCATTCGGTACTATTATTGTATTCACCTAATGGGTGATTGAGATCAAGACAATGCTTGCCATAAAAATATTTGAGTATGAGGCCATGAAAAACTCTTTTTAAAGTTGTTGATGCTCAAAAATACGATACTGACAAAGCTTACGCAGTAGATGCACTGAAATAATAATCTAGCAGGTGAAACAGGAGGATGTGGTAAGCCGGCTCCAGATTGCTAACGCTCATGAAAAATGCTGGAGTAGTATGAGGCAATAATTGTGAAGAGTGATTCATTTGGGTTCCATTCATATAAAATACTTTACTACCATAGGTTTCAGAAAAATTGGGCAAGTATTAGTTGGCAGCAGTTTCAATAAAGATGCCACTGTTGATAAATGCTAAACAACAGAATGTATGCAAAGTTAATGTATGCCAGTTTTATGATTGTTGTTGAGGACTTTGACGTTAGGTAGTTTTTTCAATCTATTCATAATAATGCTCCCTATCTTTCTGTGAAGTGTAACTAACACCATACAAAGTTAGCAGATGTAGTTTCTTCCGCGACGAAATGTTCAAAAACCGAACAGCATAATAAAGGAGCTTTTTACATTTATTCTCTGTGTTACTCATCAAAAAATCATCATCAGACAGCCCACCCGTTTATTTTTCTGCCTAAACTTATTCGTCTGATCAATCACACGAAACCTTCCTTGCTTTTAAGCAATTTGGATTCTTTTGCACCTGTGAACTGTGTGCCTGTCTGGAAAAAGCTGTCTCTATTTGACTGCATTATTGTAAAATAACCTGGCTTGTAAGAATGATAAGTTAGGGTTACTTTTGGTCTGCTTTGGTAGTGATAATGATTTAAAGGTGTTACAAATAAAATGTTAGAAAGTTTTCATATACACGTATATATATATATATATATATAAATATTTTCCCTTTACAGAATTAAAGTTTCTCACTTTGATATCAAAAGCGCTGTCCTCAGTAAACACTGTAAAGTTTCGTCAGACCAATCCACCTTCTCTGGTCGGTACGTCGGGAAAAGTGAATTTAATATTAATTTCTGGTAAGGACCCGCAGCTAAAATTTCTTCACCAGCATCACCCCTTGCACATCTCCCAAACAACGAGTCTAACTAATGACTGTAAATAATTAAATATAATACCGTCAAAGCATATTTCATCCCGTAAACAAACAGCTTGATAAAGACAACCTTTAGATAGATCAGTTAGGAAATATTATAGAAATGAGCTTACCAATGTAACCACCATTAGAAGCAACATTTCTCGAATGCATACTTTCATTGTGCTTCACAATTATCACGACAATCGATATGATTATTGTCCATACTCGTAAACAAGTCATCAAACTAAATAACTCATTAGTCTAAATTCGAAAACAACACATATTTTGGAAGTTGTGAGTTCAATCTAAATGGCATATAAAAACAAATCGACTTGAGTTCTAATCCTTAAGAACAGTGATTGTAAGTCATATGAGCAATATTAGCTAAAGCTGCATAGGATCGCGTTTAACTACTTCATCTTTGAAGACATCAAGTGATTCCCACTAAATTCACCCTTTTTGAGTGCTACCTTATGCTTTCAATACATGATGAAACAGCCACCTAGGATTCCCAAACACTTACTCCAGCATTCTTCAGCATGCGGATATCTGTAAGTCCTATTCAGAAACAATAGTTCGTGTGTCTTCATTGACACGTTCAATGACTGCTGGTTCAAATTTAGCCCAAGAAATTCTAACCTAGATCTCGCGTTACACAGGACAAACAGTTTATGGGCATTTTGTCCGATGGTGCTTTAATGCCTTCAACCTTGCCTCCAGACACGTCAGTCCAGCAGATAGTCTTGCCCTGTCTTCACTGTGCTAAACATTTGCGAAAATTCTTTAACACACGACACTCTTCAACATTTTTGGATGACGACAGTAGGGCAATACAATCCACTCTGCCAGTCACCATAAAACTCACTTTCACTGGATGGCTAATCGGTATGTATATCGGCACGGAGTGCGTTTGGACCTAATTTGTCTGCCGCCATTATCTCAGCGTCAGATACCACCAGCTGTCCTCTCTGCCCAATCTGAAATGAGGGATTAATTCACTGCATACGTTTCCTCCACAACTGTCTATCCATAAATTCATCTTATGTAACTCAAAAACAAGTTAAAACCTTACATACTAATGCAATGAATGCTCATTCAGGGCTAGGAAATTCCCCATATGTGGTTCGTCTGTAACTTCATGATGTTTCTCAATAGCAGTGGGTGTCTCTTCTGAGTTCTCTCACATGCTAAGCACTGGTACGTGCTCTTTGTTGCTCGTTTATATTGTTTGCCAATGCTTGGTGATAGTGATTCAGGGATGACTTTTCAAATACTTAACTGACTTGAGCATGGATCATTTCACAGCATGTAAATTACTAGTTTAAGTGCCTCATGTTGGTGACTTCTACAACCAGTTGGATTGATTCCAACAGATGATCAGGTAGAATTTTGAACCCTTGCTTTTGTAGAAATGAGTAGATGATATACGAGTTTGCCAAATGCACTTTTCTATGTTTGGTTATAATGCTGAAAAGGTGAGTGGTAAGTCGTCAGATCTAACATGCTTTCAAACTGGCCAGCAATTTCATCTATCATTTGCATCTTAGTGTTGATGAGCTGTATAATAATGTATGTCAAATCCGGCCCATTTTGCTGGTAAGTTTGAAGATACTGTTTTTAGAGGAGGAACGGTATATTTTTGATGAGTGCCGCATGCAGCTGCGAAATCCGAGGTGACACCTTTAATATACGCGACCAGGGAGTATCATACTGACAGCAGCGTTTTCCCGCAAACCGTCTCGACGGGCTCCACGTCAAGAACGACTTTGAATTCCTGTTTATGTTTGGAAGCTCAAAAGCCTGACATCATTTCACGGTCATTCCTGGGTCGTGCGAAAGACCAGGTCAGCGAGAAAATTAGTGCCGGTCAGTAGCTTTTAGGAGCTCGGCCAAACGCTAGTAGGAGTAACAATATTTATTCTTGAATATATATGCATTACGATGCTGGGGTCAAGATCAGCGAAATGTTATAAGGACTGCGCGGTTTCTGATTTCCTGGCTGCCACATGGAGAAAACAGCAGAGTATCGAGGACTTAGGATGCCGCACAATGGTTTCCTTGCACATGCAGATTCTTAGCCTTAATCGTAACCACCAGGCCCCATACATATTCTTATGTTAACAATTTAAGTTGAGAGAAGCTGGTCTACGGTATCATCACACTGATATATTTCGAAAAATCTAAAAGACTTGGAAATACAAGTCGCTCCGGCAGTACAACGAATCGCCTTCAGTGTATCCGTCCATGTTCGGATTCTTCAAAATGAAGACCCCTGAAGAGTCCAGCCAGCATTACTCCGTCGAGAATGATTTCGTTGAAGCGCTTCTGTTTCTCTTGCGCACGACACTCCTATATAATCATGAAATTCGGTTTTTCTCTCGTTTCGACCAGAAAACATTAAACCTATGAATAAACACAAACATTCTTCACATAATCCGGGGAGCATTACTCGTATTTGATGTACGATCTAATTTTCGGCCTAAATATTGCCTCCACCTGGAGTGAAATTAGAGGTGACAAACAACATTACTAAAGGATTTCACCACTAAACTTGATAGGCATGTCTAAAAAACACGCACTTCTATAATTTGAAATAAATTTACTATTATTACTCTCCTTACTTTTGGGTATGAACTTGCCCAATATGTTGACAGCTGTGGAACATAGTTTGTTTATCACCTTGCTGGAAGTTGATATTCGTCTAGCGAACAGCTAAGCTGATCATGAGACCTGGAATTTATACCTGGAAGAACTCAGTGGCAAAGAGGTTGGCATATAGAGACATTATTAACTTTTTGGATAAGTAGTTTCAGTTCTTTACTTTGCTTTTTGAGCATTTACGGGGCAGAAAAGATAGCTCCCTGGGGAATGATTGCATCCATCCAGGACATGGCTACTTATTGCAGTTGACTGCCGCGGGATAACAATCACTTTTTATCGCCGAGATGTCACCACTCTATACCCCTCTGAACCGACTTCCTCACTTTCAGACTGTGGCTGATCGGCTAAAAGTCGCGACAACCGTACCGTCATGGCTTATTGTTGATAAGATAGATAATTTTTGTGTAACCATCCTAGCATCTTCGTTTGATTCCCTTCTCTTTTCTCTCCCTTTTCACATTTTGTGATTCACTGGCTTAAGCACACTACAAATTATCCCATATCCACTTATATCCGGGTTTTTCTTTCTTTCTGATGAACACACTCACGACATAATTGCTGTATGACGACTGCTTTGGAGCTTCGCCCAAAATTTATGGCTTCACTTGGGATTAAATCTGAAAATTTCGATATTAGCCGCTGTTTGCACGCAAACTGCGGGTGCTTCACCTCCCGACAACCACTCATCCCACGATTAAGCAAGCCGTAACCGACCTCATATGAAGCTCCGACCTTGGAGGAATATCGAATGGTTTAATGAAGAAACCGTGCTCATCATCGGCCTTAATATGACAATTGTCACCGTGATGTGTTACACACCTGGCTTAATTTATTAGAACGACCCGTCCTCTGTGCCACAGATCCAAACAATCCCAACACGCCAAGTGACAACGTACAACAATGGTCGCAAATTTCCCCAACCGTCTGTCCTGGTACTTGACTCCAGTTTTGTGTCCCATATGTAAACAGCACACACTTAATAAATGCCTGCATGTTTTCAGCATCATTTACTTTCTACCTTTGACTAGCTATGAACTCTTACCAACTACTTGGCTCGGTTTACCCGAAGAATTTTGAGGCCTTACCACCATTGCCAGATTGCTGCTCATACTGGGTGATGATATCCGCACTACCTTTCACTTCTGTTGTGCAGCAGAATGGTTTATATCCAGTACCAGTGACCAGTAATTCACACTGTATGTGGATGGTTGTTGAGGTAAGGTCCAGTCAAACTCAGCAAGGCATATTCTGCTTTAGGACTTTATGGTCTTCGTAGCAGCAAAGAATGACCGACGCGGTCAGTCGCCCTAAGGATGTCGACATAATGATGATAGTTTATTCTCGTAAGCACAAGTGCATACCACAAGTACAAAATGACACCACATAAACGTCGATGCAGGGACTAATGAAAGTCGGTCGCGACCAGTGGTTGCGTGGCTGAAAAAGTCAAGATGACAAGCAATGCGTTAACATGGCTCAAAGAACCCATGCCGACTAGATGTGATAACGTTGTTTTCTAGCCTTCGTTTTGGAACGTTTTCTTTGAGTATTTTCTTTCCAAATCGAGAACCTACCCATGTAATACCTATTAGCCTGGATTTTCCCCTTCAATGTGTGCGCCAGACTTGTGTATAAATGGTTTCCTCCAAAAATTCTATTCTGCTTTAAGTAATCCCCGGCGGTTCACTCCAGTAACCTCATGTGTTCTGTTAGGAGGCTGAAACCAGAATCCTAAAAGCCATCCAGGAGACATAAATTATTGACTACTTCTAAATCCATTCTGAAATATAATTCCACGGTTCTGGTCCGAATTACTCGGCGACATGGATGGTATCGAAAACGACCAAATATCCGCGCGGCGTGCCATCACGGATGTTAATGCCAGTCTGGAAAACATGCTCCGTCAGCATGTGTGTTAGATGAAAATACTTATGCTAGCTCCGACAGCTTACATAAGTCCTTACGATGAATCCATTTCACTGTGGAAGAAGCAACCAGATGAATGAGGCCGTCCCAAAATGCGTTGATGCATGACCTACCTTAGCATGTCTCAGTACAACAGCTAAAAGACGTATGTCTACGGACATGCGGTGTATATTTCTTCGGACGTTTTTTTGTCAGAAACGGCCCAAGTGATACTACTCGCCCATTTCCGTTCACTTTGAACTGCGTAAAGCACACTCACATATTTCTGATGTCTGGTAGGTGTAAACCGGTACATACCGAAGCACTAAAATCCTCGACTATTTAACACCACGCCAAAGCTGCTTCATAAGTCCCAATGAGGACCTCACCTAGTGAAACGAAAACATCCTGCTATCGGCCTCGCCAACAGACTTAGAAATCTGGAAGTGGGCACATGTCAACCATCCAGCCTCCACTACGGATAGATAATAAGACGTTGGTCCACTAATCTGACCTTGATTTCCAGAGTGTGAGTTGTTTTACGACAGCAATGTCCGGATGCTGACCTAACCAAGGTTACTGCGAAGGGTGATTTTGATAATCTACCTGAATCCACGGAAAGCCCTACGTACGACTGTCTTTTTACGGAAACTTACTCAAGCGATACCGAGCTAATGGACTTGTCCGATAAGTTTCAGCTTAGCACAGTGCTGTTGCCTCGATAATTGAT